TATCTGTAGGATATCGCCATTAAAAAAAGATAGAGTAAGACTAGGGATAATGTAACGTTTACGAAGTAAAAAACAAAAAAGGCTACAGCTGTATTCAATTATTTTCAGCCTAAAACAAAATCTACTCAGACTGTCGTCTAAGTGCTGCTGTCCTTTAAGTGAGGCAAAGATGACCTCCGCACATTTGTTCCAAACGTTTAGACGAGGAAGAGTTTTTCCCTGGCATAGCCATGGGTGGGGTCGGCGATGAAACTTTACGAGAATTTTGAGTTTTGCTTGCGTGTATATGCAAGCCCACATAAAACAAGTGCATTTTCCCACAAATGTTTCTGGTTGCGCCCCTGCATACCTAGGACAGAGAAAACATTCTATTCTGGACAAGCCAATACCAGTGTTATCAGTGTGCATGAAAAACGCTACCGCAGCGCCATTGGGACTTTGGAGTGAAACTGAACTGCAATGCCAACCGTAACTGGGCCCGAAACGCATTGCTACTTAATAGGCACAGGCACCTTCGGGCTGTATAGAGCTTGATACTGTTGCCCGCGTAGTCGTTCTAAGAAAGTCAATTTAGCATCCCGGCTGCGGCGGCTGCGTTTCCGATGGAGGCGGAAACGTTGCGTTTCCGATGTTGTAGGCCCGTGTGTTCAGATTTGGGCGCACGTTAAAGAACCCCAGGTGATCAAAATTTCCGGAGCCCTCCACTACGGCGTCTCTCATAATCATATGGTGGTTTTGGGACGTTAAACCCCACACATCAATCAATCAATCAATTTAGCATTGTTTTAAGCGCGCGAACTATTACGCAGGTGCGTGTACAATTTTTATGTGATAGAGTTCTTTAACAATTCTGGTGGTCAATGTGGTGGCGCCAGGAGAATGAGAAGACCAACGTAGTCTATGACGTGGATATTACGCCTGATTGCCTGACAAAAGTACAAATGCAGCAACGAGTATATGGTCAGTTTATTTGAAAGGATACGTATGTGGCGCTGCTGAAGAACATTATAACACCACATCACATTTCTGCCAACTGGAAAGACAAAACAGGTTATGGTTGCCAGCACGACGTCCAAGAGTCCACTTGATTAGACAAACGGCTTGAGGGAGCAGACGGACGTAACATGTTGTTACAGTGACCTAATCAGTGATAGTTTGACGAATCAGGCAACAAACACAAGGGCCAATATGTAAGTTTCAGCACAATCCATTATTTCAGAGCTTAGGTATTTTTCTTTGTCTGGACTAAGGAACACGTAGCGGGCGTCGTACACCTTGAAAGTGCGACACAGTGCGATTCATCACGCTGTTGTTTCACGCACGAGAAAATTCCCGTGGAAGTTCTGTTAGTATTTCCGAGCAGCTGCAGATTGCAATCGTAAACATCGTCATGTGCTCACTTGAGCCTAATAAATAAACAAACACTGCGCACGTGGGCTAAAGTTTCCGTACAAAGCCCTGTCTTAAGAGTAACAACTTGCTACGTGGCTTCTGAAATCCGCACTTTAGTTCTGTGTCGACACCTGTTTGCACGTAGAAAACACTGTTGTGATCCGGTGCATCGACGCTTGTCTCACAAACGACAGTTTGCAGTCGAGGCTAAGATGTGTTGCCTACTACGGTCACCCACTCGAAAGCTCACCGAAGAACCACCAGAAGGGCCTCACGCTGGTGGTTGTGCCATAGCGCTTGACCATGCGAGCGTAGTTCACCAGGAGACAGATGAAGATGAACCACACGAGCAGCACCAGTCGCACAAGCACGCGAATTCGAAACCGCGCCATCGCCCGCCGCTTCGGGAACGCTTCGCGGTAGTGGAGTCGCAAAGGCTAGCCTGGAAAACTTAGCCGCGTGTTCACCAAGTGAAATTCGACTCAACTTGCTCGCTTGCGTGCTTGCTACCTAATTCGTGGCACTTACCCACTGCGTGGGTATACTGACGAAAGAGTAGACGGTTAAAGAGTGGATGTAGATAATGATAACATACGTTTACGTTTTACGTCCAAAAACTACGGTGTGATTATGCGACACCATATAGTGGAGGGCTCCGGAAATTTTAACCACCTGGCATTCCTTTACGCGCACCTAAAATTATAAGCACCCGGGCCTTTTGCCTCCATCGAAACGCGGCAGCCACAGAAGGGATTCAATCATGCAGCCTTCAGGCCATCAGTCGAGTATAATAAGTACTATGCGCAGGGGCGGGTCAGTGTAGGCGAAGCGATGACAAAGTATTACAGGATAAGGCAGAATATCTTCAAATGGGTTGTAAATAAGTCGTAAGGGAGCTCAGGCTGGAAGGTTAAAATGAAATGACTGCAAGTTTGGTGTTTGACAAGTATAAGCTATACGTCTTGCTTCACTAAAGTAAGCTATATAGCATATTTCGATGGTCCTTAGTTTCATTATTCGTCACTTCAGCCGTCTTTTCGCATGCCGCTGGTCTGCGTGGCCGTTATTCGGTAGTGGGGCACGAGTCGTTATTTCACGAGCAAGAAAGCAGTCGCGTTTGATTCATCAAACTTTTAAATTCCTTTGTCCCCATTGTTAACCACCGCGTTAATAACCCATCCTTGGCAGTGGGTACGAGCCAGAACATAGGTTCAAGCGAGAAAGCAAGAACTGTTCCTCATGACTAAACTACTGGTCATCCTCCTTCGAAGGGTCACTATTGCGGTCTGGCTCAGCTTTACCACACTGCTCATTTATTTCTTTCTCGCACGCAAGTAAGTCGACCCAGTGAGTGCAGCTGCGTGTCTCTCTCTCTGTAGCATGGAAATGAATGCATGACGCGCGGTGGTGGTCAGCCCCGGCAAGTGCCTTAGCTTGTACTCTTCAGCTAAACAGTGTCGGTATCTCGGAATACATCGTATAGAAAGCTTAAATGCATCATGTTCACTGTAACATGGCTCATAATCTCCAACATTGCTTTGGCAGAATAACACGGCCACGAATATCAGGCTTAAGGATAACGAGCTTAAGGAGCCCCTAAACTTCACCGAAGCCGAATGCAAGAGGGGTTTGTTTCTCGCGTTACCCACCCTTTCAGCAGGCACTGTCTTCTTATATTTTATTGTTTTATAAGCAAGGGTCGTTCTTCTCAACACTAATCAATGAGCATATCATGATTTTGCTATTTTCGGCTATCTCCACTCAAAAACACTCAAAGGGAAATGAAATAAGTTGATCTTGCACGATGGTCATGAGAATCAAGTCAGAATAGGCGCGCTACTGCACGGCAAAGCAGGGTGGCAGTGGCAACTCAAAACTCATACCCCTCGCATATGGACTAAACAAAGAGCTTTTCCCTCATGACAGCGCGCACGTGAACAGACTGATGGCGTCACGAACTGTTCCGGAATAACAGGACATGCCATGAAAGAATAACTCACTTGTTTAGAGGCTCTTTTAAAAAAATGCGATTTGAAAGTTGCTGTGAGGTGTGTAATGACGTAGCAGTCAACAAATCAGAGATGCATTAATTGCGAGTGATGAGCCAAGAGTACGTGTCACGGAAGAATCCAAATGTTGGTGTTCGAAACAGAAACAAAAGTTTTCACTGCATATACTAGGTCAGTGCGCGAAATTCAATGAAATGTAACACGAGAGCAGTATTGTAGTTTACTAACTGGTGGCTGTCCTAATGGGCAGTGCATAAACTGAGTCACGCTGCACGGCATTCGAAGAATGACTTCAGTGTATGGTTGACATTGATGCAATCAATCATATTCTACAATTGAGCTCGGCTACTCTTGACTTCCCAATTTCCTAATCGTTAGTTCTCAGTTTTCTGCTGAGAGACACAATTCTGCACATCATGGTAGCATTATTAGTTTTAGAAAACCATTCGAATTGTCGAATTTGGTATTGGGGAAGCAGAGCTCAAGATAATAGCATATTCCACTGCGCACCAAAACCAGAGACCAGACGTATTTTTAACATTCTCAAATACATTTAAAAATGCCACTTCAGCACTGGCTCTTTAAAATCTCGTTTTTTATAGAAATTAATAAATGCTTATCTGCTTTTAGTACGTTATTTAGGTCATATTTCATAGTCACATACATGAAACACAAATACACAGCGCTTTATGGTGAGTCGATGACTTTTCAAAAAACGGTTCTTAAAATTTGCGCTTGCCTTTTAACCGTATACAGTGTCAACCACTTATATATCTGTATGGGAACACTTTGTACAGCCCTCATAATTTTATGGAAGCACTGGATACGCATTTTCAAAGAGTTTTTATGAATTATACATAATCGTGCCCATTATTACGTTGCCATTTCAATGTGACAGCTCACTGGAAAACGAGTTGACTGACAGGAGAATAAATAACGCACATGAGAGCTTGTAGCGTGCATCCTTTCTTCTGCTATCGATGTACTCGTTTCGTTGTACGCTGTTACATAGAAATACGGACCGATACCAACTTTGTCAAGTTGGTGTCTTACTGCAGAATATTGTCTTCAAGGTTTTGTAATTGCATGCAGTTAAAGCTGCCATCGAGGTGCCCTAGATGTGCTGGTCCTACCCTGTCTTCTATACCAAAGTCTTTCTGCAACTAACATCGCTTTGCACTTCCTCTAGGATCGGTGGCATCGCAAGCTTTCTGCACGTCACCTGATTCTGCATTGCCTCCGTGATCGCCCCACCTCTGGCCAAACAGCGATGTCACGTACTGGCGTCATCATGTGACGTTAGGCACGTCACTTTTGCAAGCTCTGACGTCATTATCACCTCGTGTGGTGGCTGCATCACTTGTTGATGTTTTGCATCACCAGCGTGGCCGTCGACGCCGACAGCCAATTTTTTCGTTTGATGAGGCATCTAAGGCTATGTAATTAATATTGCCCCTATACCACTCCTTATACTTACCGCCATTGTCTATTAGCTTTGACTCTCGTTTTACTTCCTTCCTTGTCTATTGGCTGGCTCATTAGGTTGTACGGGCAGACGCTGTTATCACTGACTTTGAATGTTCACAAGCCCCCCTGGTCATGGCGGTCGAGAGGGGCAGTGTTCCAAAGTACAAGTGCCTATTGGACAAGTATGCAAGGATGAAGAGGTGATAAGTTTCGACGCGCGTTGGCAGGGATAACGTGGACACGACCTGGTCGCAGCCGCCGCCAGCGGCAGCGACAGCTGCAGCCACTAACCTGAGGCTCTTGGCATCGGCCAGGGGAGGTGCCTTCGGGACGTTGCCGCGTGCTCCATGCCCGAGCTTTCTGGCCGTGGTGGTGAGCTCGGCGCCCGACCGTTCTTTTGAGCGCCAGGCCATACGTGACTCGTGGGCCCACGATGCCCGGCCGGGACACAGTGCCGTCTACTTCCTACTAGGCCGGCACGCCCAGGACGCCACTAGAAGAAGTAGCGTGGTCCGAGGTCGTGAAAGGTGGGCATCATAAGCTGCAGTTCAATGTGTATTCATCGCCACTGTCAGTCCATTAAGACCACACTGCCGTCGTTTGTTGCAGGTGGTATTGGGAGTGGAAGGTCGACCGCCAGCTTTTTGCTTCCGACTACTGTGTAGTGTGGTTTTGTTTACTGTCGCGTGAGGGCAATTTGGCGCAGCAGAGCAGGTGATGGCGATATTGAAATACAAACTTCTTATTCAATGAATGCCTACCTGCGAATGAAAATAGGCTTTCACTGAGGTGCACAACTGACCAGACTTCCGATGAAACATGCCACTTGGTGGCATTAACCCCTAGGTGCTCGTGGGGGGCGACAGGGATAAGGGGGCCTCCTTTGACTAAATGAAGATTGATTGATATGTGGGGTTTAACGTCCCAAAACCACCATATGATTATGAGAGACCCCGCAGTGGAGGGCTCCGCAAATTTTGACCACCTGGACGGTGCTAAGATTTGGGTGCACGTTAAAGAACCCCAGGTTCTTTAACGTGCACCCAAATCTGAGCACACAGGCCTACAACATTTCTGCCTCCATTGGAAATGCAGCCGCCGCAGCTGTGATTCGATCCCGCGACCTGCGGGCCAGCAGCCGAGTACCTTAGCCACTAGACCACCGCGAAGGGGCCTTGACTAATTGAGGAGGGGCAGTGTCTGTCCCATGCCTATTTAAAGTAGCACCCGTTATTTCAAGAAAATGACGAGTCCTGTTGTGGAAAGGTACAATGAAGGCGTCCTAGAAGTCTTGAACGGTATGATAGCCAGCCAGGTTATTGACGATAATGGTGGCCGAAGGCCCCTGATGTGGCCCACCAAGAACATTTTAGTTGTCATCTTTACTCCCGACGGAAAGCCAGGGATACTAAAGGCAGGCCACTGTGGTGTGGACTTCACTGCTTCTTTATTTTTTTCTTTATATCCAATGGGACGCATATTGTCTTTCGTACTATATCATGCATGGGGGGGATACGATAAAATTCGCCCTCCCCCCTTATTCGGAGAATCTTGAGCACACCTATGTCCCTAATTATTCACAAAGTGGCCTCCTGGATTCTTGTCAATGCAAATACTATATGGCGCGTTACCGGCGCGATACTCACACCCGACAGTGATAGGGGCATCATGCTAGCTAGGGGTTGCGAAGCCTGTGGTGTATTGCTAATGTTCCACTTATGCGACAAAGCTTAGTTTAAAGCGCGTGAGAGCTTATGTACATGGTGCGGCAGACGTGAAAAAATGACACGTGAACCAGCGTTGAAACATTGCATGACAAAAACCGGTCGTGCATCACGTAGGCTAGAAAACGGAGACAACAGTCGTAGTACCACACCCTTCAATTTTTCGTCAGTGAATTGGCAGCACCATCTTTGAAGTGAAGTGAAGCTTACTTTTGTGCAAAGCAGGGTAGTGTCTGGGTAGGACTGTGTGTCCACTTTCTGACCTGACTGAGGCGTGCTGCAACGTAGAGAAATTGTACGCGCCCCTTTCAAAAGCGCATACAAAGAGCTTGGCCTGACGCATAGGTGTGGACAAACGTTGATATTGTCGGCACGTTCATATAGCCCGTTTCTGCTATCATTGAAGATGTCGTTACAAGCTCGTGATATCTCTACCAGGTGGTGTCGGCGTGTTGTGGCATAGCCCACTCGACGTGACATGGGCCCCTCCTGCGGTCGCTGATTTCTCAAGCAAAACAAGTGCACCTACAAGAGACTATAATGGCATTATACACTGCAGAGAAACTATCCGTCGACATCTTGCTCACTAAACCCCAAAAATCAAAACCAATTTGCTGTAGTGATCCAGAGATCACTACAGCAAATTTATTCTATTGTTGGTTCTAAGAAATTTCTGCTTTAAGTTTTAAAGTTTTTTTTACGCATTTCAAAAGATTGGAATACTCTCGTTGACTTAAGTACCTTTTACGCTGAACGGATACCTTCAAAGTATTGATCATCAGGGGCGTAGCCAAGGGGGGTGGGGCGTGGAGATGCTGACCCCCCCCCCCCCCCCAAAAAAAATGTTTTTTTATTTTTCCTTTCACATGCATACGCGCGCTCATACAAACACATGCACGAGCACACATTTAGTATGGTTGAACGCCCCCCCCCCTCCCCCCGTCGGACCAAGTATAGTAGGACTGTATTGCCTGTTTAAATAAAGCCGATGTTTTTGTACCTTTATGACGCTTGGTAATCTGCCAACAGATCGAATTTTCCAAGATTTGAGAAGTTCATTTTTCTTTGTTGAATGTCTTCCCATCTTTGCACATTGTACTTTGCATTGTATTAAAGAATATCACTTCCACACTCGCTATAGTCCCTGTGGGACAGGCTTTCAATGAATGGATAAAATGAAAATGAATAAACTGAACGCAGGTCCGGCGGCTGGGAGTCGAGCGACGACTCTTCCATTCTCCCGGAAAGCTCTGTGTTCGGCGACGTGATCCGTGCCGACTTCGAGGACACCAGGAAGAACCAGACGCTCAAGTCCCTGCTCCTGCTCCAGTGGGCGCACACTTTCTGCCCACGCGTGAGCTTCGTCCTGAAGGCGGACGACGACGTGTACGTGGACCTGCCGCGCCTGATCGCCCTGCTGGAGTCCAAGAAGGCAGCCTTCGAGAACGACACGCGCCGCGGTAACGGCGACGGCTTCCTGCTCGGCAAGCGGCACGAAAGCAAGCCGATCGGCCGGAACCGCCGAAGGTAGGGTGGTGGCAACATATGTAAGAGGCATTATAGAGTATTGGTAGGTATACTCAATTGGAACAGCGCATATGAGCAAAGAAAGCGTTCGTTGGGGCTGACCCCTGTTTCCGTCACTGCAAGAGGATATATAGCGTATGACACATGCGTAGTAGTAGACACTTTTAGTTGGGCGCACGGGGAAGTTGCGTACGCCGTGAAAATGAGGTTGCGAACGCCGCAAGTGAAGCGTGCAACGGCACTTTTAGTTTAACGTACGTTGATGCGTTCCACTCAACTAGATGAGTCGTATTCAAGATGCAAGAGTTTGGAACGCTTATCAGCGCCACCCACGCTAGAAGCATGCTAGGTACCAGTAATAACGTGGCCTCTGTGATCTGCGCGATAAACATTCATGACCTTACGATGTACTACCAGCACATTGAAGACGTGAAATCTCGCCCAATGACCAAAGCGTGTAACGTTGCACCGTGAATAAAAGTACGTGCAAAGCTGCCGTTTTATTTACGGGTTCATTCGCCGAGAGGCCTGGCAGAGAAAGACGCGTTCCCGCACACAGCCTATCGAAGGCGATTCCCGAGGATTTTCGTGAGACGCCAGGCAATTTCTTCTGAACAATCAAGATGCCGGAACGCACCGCTTGAATTTACCTTGTCGGGCATGAAAACATCGCCTTTCATTGTGAAGTACACATGCCTTGAATCAGGTCCGCTGTTGCTGTCTGCGTCGAACGTCACTGCTGTCACCCTATACTCTCGTGCTGCTTTCTCCGAGGTCTCGCGAGAAGGTAACGTTGTAAACGTCGCGTTACGCACGCAGCATCTTGTTTTGAGCATAAGCGCGAATCTCTGAAATAGGTACGTTACATACTGTACATGCGCAGTTCTCTCCCGTGGCAGTGCTGCGTTCGTGGGCTCGTTACGTACTCCCAACTAAAAGTGTCTAGTGCCAAGCGCTAACGCAAAGCTCTGCGTACGCTATTCTAAAACTCGCTATAATAGAGGGAGGCACCCAAGTAATGGGTGTCCGAAAACTTTTGCGTTCTTTTGTGCTCTCCATTCGTTCTTCTGTTCTTCAGCCAGCTTCTCGGTTTTCGTCAAGCTTCTATGTTTATGTTGGTTTCTTTGTCCTTTAACTTGTATGTTTGTGCATTAAAAAGAAAGCATCCATTCGCTTTCTTCTGTTCGCGACTATATACAGGAAAATTAAAGAAAGGTAACGCTTCCGTGCCATGGGTACGCAATGACCCATTCCTGCGCTTTTGCAGGTACGGAAAACCCGCCGGTTCTACCTGGGCGCCCATCTACTTGTCCGGCGCGGCCTACGTGATGTCGGGGGCTATCGTGGGTCCGATGCTTCGCAAGGCGCTGGAGACGCCCGCCCTTCACCACGAGAACGTCTTCCTCACAGGAATCGTGGCGTCCAAGTTGAACGTGCGGTTGTTCCACTCGCCCTGCTTCGTCTGCTGCGACGAGTTTACGGACCCGTGCGCTTACCGTGGGCTGCTGGCCGCCACCGTCACCAAGCCCGACGACCTGCGCATCGCGTGGATGCTCGCGCGCGGTCACGCAGTCGGCGGCTGCGTTCCGCCCAACGACACCGACCGCCTACACTGCTGACGGGCCCAGCCAGCGCTACATCGCTGCCGCCGTGGGGATGGACTATGTTAGAACATAGATCGACGACACGTGACGGTTTTTCACTCCGTGTCTGTGGAGGGTCATAACGGCTACAGATTTGATTGAATGCTGATATAGGAATTTTTCTCTTTCTTTTTCAGAGAAATGCGACAAAATTTCAGCCGCTTGTTGACCGCTTTGAGCCATTTCGCTCGTATCGTTGCCTTGCATGAGTCGGGCAATTTGCCAAATTTTAAGGTGCAGCATTGTAACGTGAACAAGACGTTGCTTTTCTCATTTCGACCTCTTGTTAACTTGCGGCTACCACTGTTACTTCAGTTTTGCATACAAACAAGGCTGTATCGCAGAACGATAGTTCATGGTCTTTTTAGGAATAATTGTTGGAGTTTCATTCAGGCCACAGAACGACGGCATGACTGTGAGGCGCCGACATGGGTGACTTCGGATTAATTTTGGCTACCTGGCTTTATATAAACCTGCACGTTCTATCCAAGTAGATGAGTGCCCTGTAATTTCAGCCCCATCTGCATGCGGTTGCCTTAGGAGGGAATCGAGCCGGCGTCTTCTAGCTTAGCAGTGCGGTGCCTTAGAAGCGGGTTGTTCGCGCCCGTTTAACCACTCCAATCATGTTGGAGACAACATTTGTGAGCGGCTTCCTTTGTGCGTCGAGCTAATGCTCGCAGCCAAGTATGTGTGACCATCCGGAATGGCATACTGTGTCTCTGGGGCCGAATTCACAAAGCTTTCTCTTTGGCTACGCATTTTCTTAGCCAAAAGTGCTCTTATCTGGAGGGACTAGCATAGCGCGGGTATGAATTTAACTTATTCAGCACTTAAGAGGGCAAGGAGGACACACGATAGCTGATGAAACGACAAGGAAAGAAAGAAGTGTGTACCGATAATATCAAGGTAGCACGCAAAGCGTCTAGCATCGAGAGTATACGATGACAGCCAATGATTTGCTGCATCTAAGTTTCAGTTCCGCGAGCGTCTGCTACAGCGCTTACGGGATGCCGCGTACGTTGTAATAGGCGTTTTGGCGGGCTGTGCAAAGCCAAGCACTCGCCTTTCATCAACGACTGTAGCTAAAAACGAAATTGCTCGATGGCCTTAAGTCATCGAGCAATCCATGCACTATCTCGCCAAGTACAAGTAAACAACACTCCAGGTGTACCACATAAATGAAACCACACATAAATCGATGCATGCAATGTTTGAAAATGTGCCTCGAATGTCTTCCCCTATTTAACGCGACCAGTTACCTTACATTTCATTGAAGCTGCGCTGCTACTTAACAAATTCGGTGCCATCTAGCACGGTATAGTGGTGAACGTAAGGGTGTTTTGTACCTATAGTCAAAGGTAGCCTTTGTTACAATATTCTTATTACAAGACACATGAGGGACTTTGGTGCCTGCAGACGAATTGTGCGGAAATAGATAACAGCAGTAATCAAATGAAATTGTGAGCGCAATTTCGCTGGTTCCATGCACCGCAGCATTTTTATAAAGCCGGAATGCGAGAACGTGCATACGCTTACGCTTAGGTATATGTCTACGTAAAATGAGGGAGACTCATCGGGAGGTGTCTCAGTGCTAATGCTTTTCACAAAAAACGGTGCAAATATTTCACCCAGCGTTGTTTGAGTGCGCAAAGCAAGGGACGTGTATACGAGTCTTGAGGTCGAGAGACGTTATCACACGTGCGAAAAGGATGAAAAGAGAGAGAGACTCTCGTTTCGGCTTCGCGAAAGCTTGAAATTGATAGATAATAAAGACAATTTTCTGGCCCAGCAGTACGTCAGGGAAAGTCTCCGCAAAACAGGGTCAGATGCTCGGAGAGCATAAAAAAGTGGAGTACGCGTTATATGAGAGTGACAGCCACTCAGAAAGCGAGATGAAGTGTGACTGTCCTTAGGTGTGAGAATCAATGCTAATTAAGAGAGTTGAGTTAATGAGCCAAAACTTTCCTAAATAACGATAATGAAAGCAAACTGAGCATTCATCTAGTGAAAGTGACACTAGTGACAGTGAACTCATAATAGTTGATTAGCGTTGTCACAGGCCGATATATATTTTTATTTTCTTATCTATATTTGGAAAGCTATGAGAAGGTAGCGTACGTTAGAGCCGGCTATCCCAACGTCATGACAGTAATGTACAAGAATAAATAGCGCGCGGTTATACAATCACACGTGGCGGTTTCTATCTTCTAGTAACCTTGGGAAAACGCATTCTATTTTTTCTATTTTTGACAAAGTTTCACGGGACGTTTTTGCATTTGGCTTCATTCGAAGGAATGACGATACAACATCAATAAGGCGAACACAAGCACTGCTGCAGTGGACGAGCAGTTACAGCGCTCAACTACAATCTAGGAGGTACTTGGTTCGATTCGCAGAATCACTGAGCACTTTTTCTTTTTCAAGAGGTTGCCCGGCCTGACATTATGCGTGGTGGCGGGTACTAAGTTTTTGAGAAGCAGGCTTTCGCACTTGCTTCTTTCACTCCCCTTTTGACCCAAAAGCGCTGTACTGTGCTCCTTCAAAAATTAAACAATTCAGGGTTCATAATTTTCTCCTCCATCCTCTCTTATCGCAAAAGTGTCCAGTGCTGAAATACCAATATCATACCTGGTATATTACTTTTCACGTGTTTGGATATTCGACCAGCAATCAGTCTGCACGGTGTTTTGAAGAAAATCTACAGATGCAGTGAGCTAACTGCTTGCAGCCAAGTTGACTGCCTTTGTAGGGACACGCTTTCGTGCTAATTTGGTGGGCATCATCACATGCAGCAAAACCAAAGAGCACGGACAGTTAGAGCTGATGCAAACAGAGTGATTAGTTTGTGTCTTCTCTCCCGCTATTTGTCATGCTGCACGCTTCAGTGTAATGTCGCTGTCAATGGTTAAAATGAACTATAGCAGTTAATCGAGTTCTGCTGAGAGGGTCCCGTATTGTCCAGAATGGAACAGAACAATGGCAATTTGATTTGTGTGATAAAGAGATACCCTGCTTTTGGCTACTAGAATAAATTTCTAAACTGAAGTTTATTTTTTATTAACAACAGTTCCAGTGCAGATGAAATGAAAAGTGCATGGACAAAAATCGTGTATTCAGCTTGACTAGGTTTGTGACCTTAATTGTAATTGCGAGCCAGTATCACAGTATGCATAAATATCACACACATATACAACCACGGGTGATAGCTTGCTTATTCTGATTAAAATTGAAAGGTTGAAATCGACATATTCAACCAACGCAATGTGTACGAGATATGCCATGTAGAGTAGCTATGCTCGAAACTAATCTTCGCAGGTTCGTTCCATTTTACCCAATTTCTTGCCCATGACTGTAGGTTGGTAAATGAAACTTCTTCGAACACACATATTCTGTGTAAGGTTACATTTATTTTTATGCAGTACAAAACAAATTGAAATGTATAATGGCTCAAAAGAGAAATAACTAGAAACAAATTCAGCCAAATCATTACCAAACTTACTCACCAATGATAAACGGATTCTCATTAAAAGATACATACATACATACATACATACATACATACATACATACATACATACATACATACATACATACATACATACATACATACTACATACATACATACATACATACATACATACATACATACATACATACATACATACATACATACATACATACATACATACATACATACATACATACATACATACATACATACATACATACATACATACATACATACATACATACATACATACATACATACATACATACATACATACATACATACATACATACATACATACATACATACATACATACATACATACATATACGCACACACACATATACATATGTACACCCATACATACATACACTCAGGTGTAAATATTAAAATGAATGGCTATAAAACAACAATTCTAATACACTCATTTTGAATATACTACAGAAAGTAACTTAGAGAGATATCCACCGGCACTGTTATGTCTGAACACGGTGTTTCTCGAATTATCTCGCAAAAGCTTGATGCATAGTTTTATGCTGCTGCCCAGTGACAAGCAGTTTTTATAAAAAACACAAGAATAAAGCCCTTGACAATGTCATGCTAAAGAAAAGGGCTGTGCATCAATATTTTGTACATGTCTGCAATATCACTCTGTTTATTTACATAGCTTGGCTCATTCACAACCCACTAACAAAGCATGTTAGGACACTTGGGCTGAAAGTTGGCGGCACAGCACGAGTAAATTCTAGACAAAACATGAATAATACAATTATAAGCTACTAAGCTCCTTGGTGCAAACAGTGTTTATATTGACAGCTATAGGTGCCATTTCGTTTCCCCCAAACACTTCCCAAAGTAGAATCAACTTTATTTAGCTAAAAGTTTCTATTCTGGCGCGTCGTGGTGGCTCAACGGTGGAAGCGACTCTTTCGGCCAAGAAAACAAAGACCAATTATTTTTCCAGTTCGTGAATTCACCCCATGCTAACATTGATGCAGCTGGTAAGAGTGCTTTTGGAGAAAGGAAACCACCACATTCCCACCAGTTGTGGCCTTGGGTAGCTACTTCACTTGGACAAAAATGATGAAAACACTCCTCAAGAAGACTTCAAAGTTTGCACATCAACACAGTTCCCATACAGCTGTCTATTAGTCTGCTTGAAAAATATTGAGTTTACTGGTGGGCAAAGACTGTACACTATGTGAGGTGATGCTCCAGTGCACTGCATGTATGTCTTGCTGCTGGCCTCAACTGCGATGTTGCTCAGCACTTATGCGTAAAATAACAACTAATACTATGCCACTGCAAAGTAATTATGTGTCATTTGCATGAAACAAGGACCACAATAAAAGAACATAACAACATTTGCCTTCACAAAGTTCAAAAAATGTAAATAAATTTCCACAGAGTTTTCACAGTTCATCTGAGAATAGTAATATTGATTGTAAACACATTCTTACTTTCACTA